ATAAAAAAGGTTTTAAAATTTGTCAATTTATGTACTTCCATTGTTTTATCTTATTGCTCCTGTATTTGTCAGGGACATGTTGTCTTAACAGATTTTGGGCTTTGTAAAGAAGGAATTGCTATTTCTGATACTACAACAACATTTTGTGGGACACCAGAGGTAAGAAATATGTCTCATTTGTCATTCATATAATCATGTAGAAAGTGCAAATATGAATCACAAATTGCGCATATAAATTTGAAATAAGTAGAATAAAGACTGCCGTTTCTGCTTCCAACCAAGTGGAAAAAATATCTGATAATCATCCTTTCTATACATTTAGAGTTTATCAATAGCTGATTTGTTTGTTTGTTTATTTTGAGACAGAGTCTCAAGCTGTGGCCCTGGGTAGAATGATATGGCGTCACAGCTCACAGCAACCTCAAACTCGTGGGCTTAAACAGTTCTCTTGCTCAGCCTTCCAAGTAGCTGGGACTACAGGCACTGGCCACAACACCAGTCTTTTTTTTTTTTTTAGTTATGTTAATGAGGACGGCCATCTTGGACAACTTGCCCTGTTTTTTTTTTTTTTTTTTTTATTGTAGTTGTTACCTTTGTTTAGAAGGACTGGGCCAGGCTCAAACCCACCAGCCCCAGTGTATGAGGCTGGTACCACTGAGCTACGGGCTCCAAGCCAATAGTTGGTATTTTAACTATGATTATGAGATACCACCAGACCCTTTTGAATAACACAAAAAAGATAAATTATGCTTGTTTTTAATGCTAAAAGTTTACCATAGAGTTCTTTAAAGATTTAATTACATTTCTAAACCTTTAAAAGAAAAATCACGAACCAGTCATGAAAATGTCCTAAAATTGATTATGGTTATAGTTGTGTAATTCTGTGAGTATGTTTATAGCCATTGAATTTTAGACTTTAAATGGGTGAATTGTGTGATATGTGAAGATGTCAATAAAGCTGGGGGGTTTGTGTGATTTTATAACTTTATTTGATGTGTCTGACAATCACTGGTTGGTTCTTATCCATGTTGACTATCTCTAGTTTTTTTGGGGTTTTTTTTTTTCTTGAGACAGAGCCTCAAGCTGTCACCCTGGGTAGAGTGCTGTGGCATCACAGCTCAAAGCAACCTCTAATTCCTGGGTTCAAGTGATTCTCCTGTCTCTTCCTCCCTAGTAGCTAGGATTATAGGTGCCTGCCACAACACCCAGCTATTTTTTGGTTGTAGCCATCGTTGTTTGGCAGCCCAGGGGCTGGATTCTAACCCGCCAGCTCAGGTGTATGTGGTTGGTGCCTTAGCTGCTTGAGCCATAGGTGCCGAACCTATCCGTAGATTTTTGAAAGTGTTAAAGTGAAACGTTTTTTATGAGCTAAAGCAAAATACTAACATTGCCTATATCTGGATTATAACTTTTTTTTTTTTTTTTTTGAGACAGAGCCTCAAGGTATCACCCTAGGTAGAGTGCCGTGGCTTCACTGCTCACAGCAACCTCCAACTCCTGGGCTCAAGCGAGTCTCCTACCTCAGCCTCCCAAGTAGCTGGGACCAATTGTTGTTTGGCGGGTCTGGGCTGGATTCGAACCCACCACCTTAGGTGTATGTGGCTAGCGCCTTAGCCGCTTGAGCCACAGGCGCTGAGCCTGGATTATAACTTTATTGGTTTCTATTCTGTTTTTCTATCCGGTTGTAATATTTTATAATAAAATTATTTAACAGAATTAAATAAAGCATTGAATGTGGGAAGAAAAGTGAATCAGACCTCATTAACCTGGCTTGCTGCCTGTAGCACAGTGGTTACAGCACCAACCAAGTATACCAAGGGTGGCAGGTTCGAACCCGGCCAGGTCAGCTAAACAACAATAACAACTGCAACAAAAAATAGCTGGGCATTGTGGTGGGTACCTGTAGTCCCAGCTACTTGGGAGGCTGAGGCAAGAAAATTGCTTCAGCCCAAGAGGTGGAGGTTGCTGTGAGCTGTGATGCCATGGCACTCTACCAAGGGTGACATAGTGAGACTCTGTCTCAAAAAAAAAAAGAACTCATTAACCACAACATCGCATTCTCTAATATTGTTTGTTAGTGAAAAACATATCTTTTTGTGACAGTAATCCTTACAATTCATTTAAAAGCCTTATTCTCACTTCACACGTTTAGTTTTAAATTGTCCTAATTTCACTGTATTTGTAGTGATCTTAGATGCCATGTAACATTTCAGTATTATAATGGAGTACTTGCAAGTACAATACTGAAAACATACAATGAATTAGCTCTCATGAACCTTTGAATTGAGAGCAGAAACTTAATGTAAAGTATCTATGAGTAACAGTTATTTATCTTGAAAGGTATTTTTTCCTTATTTCCCTCTAATCATAGCTCTTGGATATATCTGTAACTGTTTCTATTTTGGTTTATACATGAAGAAACATTTTTTTTGTTTGTTTGTTTGTTTTTGGCTGGGGCTGGGTTTGAACCCTCCACCTCCAGCATATGGGGCTGGTGCCCTATCCCTTTGAGCCACAGGTGCTGCCCATGAAGAAACCTTTTTGTGTATGTATATTCATTTTATAGTTAATTGTTCTTTTTTTTTCCTTTTTAAAAATAGTTTTAAAGAGTACAACTTGAATTCCATTACATGTATATGTTGTATAGTGGTGAAATCTGGGCTTTTAGTGTACCCATCACCCGAATAGTATATTGTATCCCATAGGTAATTTTTCATCCCTCACCCCCTGCCACCTTCCTCCTTTTTGAGTCTCCAGTTTCCATTATACTAGGGGTCCCCAACCTTTTTGGCACTGGCGACCAGTTTCATGGAAGACAGTGTTTCCACTTAGAGGGGAGGGCGTGGGGCAGGCAGAAGGTAGAGCTCAGGCACCAGTGCTAGGCCCAGTTCCTAATAGGCCTTAGACCAGCAAGTACTGGTGTGCAGCCCAGGGTTTGGGGACCATAGTATTATGCCACGCTATGTCCTTGTGTAGCTACAGTTTATCTCCCATTTACAAGTGAGAATGTGCAGCATTTATTTTTCTACTCCTGAGATACTTAGGATAATGGCCTAAGTATTTCCATCCACGTTTTTGCAAAAGATACTATTTCATTCTTTCTTACCATTCTGTGGTACTTCATGGTGTATGTATGTGTGTGTGTCACATATATATCCCATTTTCTTTATCCACTCGTCAGTTGATGGGCATTTAGGTTGATTCTTTTTTTTTCCCCCCCTCAAGATAGGGGCTTGCTCTGTCTGTTGGGCTAGAGTGCAATGGTGGCATCATCATAGCTCATTGCAACCTTGAACTTCTGGGCTCAAATGATCCTCCTGTCTCAGCCTCCTGAGTAGCTGGGACTATAATTACATACTACTACGCCCCTCTTAACTTTTCTATTTTTTGTAGAGACGGGGTCTTGCCCTTGCTCAGGATGTTCTCAAACTCCTAGCCTCAACTAGTCCTCCCACCTCAGTCTCCTAGAGTGTGAGGATCACAGGCATGAACCACCACACCTGGCCTCAAAACTTTTCTTAATTCTTATAGTTTTTAGAAAGGAAACCATAAGTGTTTTTGGTCATCTAAATATAAATGTGACCAGAAATTATTATATCCTTTTTATATATGTTCCTATTTCTTTGGATCACAAAAAAGGTTATGAGGAAACTATTTCCTTACATATATTTCACATGGGAAGAGATAAAATATTTTCGAATGTAAAATTCAAGTTCACTATTTTATTATATTTGTGAAATTGTGATTAAATTTTTTACAAATTACAATGTAAATAGCCGTCTAACAACTCACACTTTTCTAAGTAATATATTAGAAAAGAATATAATTCATTCTTTTTTCTTTCACTGAAAAGGAAAAAAAAAATTATTATAATTGCTACATGAATTTTTTTTCCAAGGGAAAACATTATGAATAATGATCAGATGAACTTCTAAAATGAATTAATCTTGGCTCAGCTCCCATAGCATAGTGGTTACAGCACCAGCCACATGTACTAAGGCTGGAGGGTTTGAACCCTGCCTGGGCCAGCTAAACAACAGTGACAACTGCAACAACAGCAAAAATAGCTAAACATTGTGGTGGGTGCCTGTAGTCCCAGCTACTTAGGAGACTGAGGCAAGATAATTGCTTAAGCCTAATAGTTTGAGGTTGCTGTGAGTAGGGATGTCATGGCAATCTACACAGGGTGACAGCTTGAGACTCTGTCTCCAAAAAACAAAAATAATAATAATCTTATGAAAGACTTTCCTCCAGATACCTACTTTACATATGCAGTATTATAGATTTTACATTTCCTGTCCTTTTAATATTTGTATTAACTGTTTCACAGTTTCAGAGAAGTACACTAATACATGTATTTTGAAAAGCGTCCCAGTTGGCACTGCCTGAACCAGTGGAGAATACAGAACTTCCAACCCTTTTCTAGATAATATGTTTTAAGTGTGATAACACCTACAATTTGCTAAATTTCTCAATTATTTTAAAATTTTATGTTGAGTTCCCCTAATATTTTATTCTTTTCTACAGTACCTTGCACCTGAAGTAATCAGAAAACAGCCTTATGATAATACTGTAGATTGGTGGTGTCTTGGTGCTGTTCTGTATGAAATGCTGTATGGATTGGTATGTATTTCTATACTTTATTATTATTGATTATCATTGATTTGGTTCTCTCCTCTTTTCCTTAATAATCTGATGTACACTTAGACAACACTAACAGAACAGTAATAGCCAGGTTAAATCAATCCAAAACCATAATAAGAATATGCAGAGAAAGAAAAGCTTTTCATTCTGTTAGGAATTTTTTGAATTAATATGATTATTTCTCCATCATGCTAATCATTCAAGTATTCACATCCCACTAGCATTTTTAGAACTAGATGCCTAGTTGCAATATTAAAATTATCTACTTTTATTCAGTTTACCCTAACATTATTCTAATTTCCAAAAGATGGTAAGGAAAAGTCTTTTGTATTTATCAAGACATTATAGGCCTAGCACTCTGGGAGGCTGAGGTGGAAGACTTGGTGAAGTCAGGAGTTCCAGATTAGCGTGAGCCAGAGCAAGACCCCGTCTCTACAGAAAATAGAAAAATTATCCAGGTGTGGTGGGTGCCTGTAGTCCCAGCTGAGGCAAGAACTCAGGAGTTTGAGGTTGCAGTGAGTTATGATGAGGCCACTGCATTCTAGCTGGGACAGCGGAGCAAGACCCTCTTGTCTTAAAAAAAAAAAACACAACACATTATTTCAGAAGATAATGTCTTTTCATTTTTGTTTTTTACTTTGTTTTTTACTTTTTTCTTACAGATTTTTTCTACCACTGGAGAGTACCTTGTATTTTCTTCCCTGAAAACATCATGTCCTAAAGATTTTATTCAGGAAAAAGGATATTTAGTACATAGTTAATTTCCCCAGTTTTTATTAGTTCAAGACACATAAGGCCAGCCAGAGCTCAGATAAATATGAGTAAGGTTGTTTTACTACATTGAGGTGATATTGTTCCAACCCAGAGCCAACGATTTATGCATTTTATATAGTTAGCTTACATATCTTTATAGAGTAAAGATAGGGTTTTCTTTAGGCTTTTGGAAATATTTGGAGTAGTTTCCAGATTTCTCTTGTGGTCGTCCTGTAAGTGTTCAGCAGCCTCATGCTGGAATCTACCTGCTAATTCCTAAAGCTGCTACCACCACCAGTGCTAAATGCCCCCATCACCTCAGACCTGAGTTAGAGTGTGTGTTTGCTTTTCCTGAAAATTGTGGAGATTTCAGTAAAATTCAGGACATGAAGAAAATGACTTTGTATCTTGCTTTCTTCAAGCACTAATTATTTACCATCTTGATATTTCAGAATCCTTTGAATTTTTTAGAGAAAATATAAAATATTGTCTATAAAATGCAGTTGATTTTAAATCATTAAATGCATTCCTTTAAAAGGGAACATTTAAAACATACTTAATAAGACTTTTATTGATGCTTTAAAAATAAAGTTCTATTTTTTTTTTTTTTTTTTTGAGATGGAGCCTCAAACTATCCCCCTGGGTAGAGTGCCATGGCATCACAGCTCACAGCAACCTCCAACTCCTGGGCTCAAGCAAGTCTCCTGCCTCCGCCTCCCAAGTAGCTGGGACCACAGGCGCCCGCCACAACGCCTGGCCATTTTTTGGTTGCAGCCATCATTGTTGTTTGGCGGGCCGGGCTGGGGATTTGAACCCGCCACCTTAGGTGTATGTGGCTGGCGCCTTAGCCGCTTGAGCCACAGGTGCCGAGCCATAAAGTTCTATTTTAAAATACAAAAGTTTTTTCTTTCCTATAAAAAAAGGAAAGTTGATAAACCTATAAAACTCTCTTAACTTTAAAACTTATTTTTATTTAAACTTTTTGATTCAGTGGTTAACTGGCTAATGGTCATGTTGAAGGTGTACCCCAGGTCTCTGATACTAGCATTTTTTATCCTGTGACATACATCTATAAAGCTATCACTGTCATAAATACTTAGGCAGAAGCATTCGGCTCTATCTCTACTAGAAATCTTTTTGTTTTAGTGAGTTTGTTCCCAAGTCTCAAGAAATTATTTAATCTATCTTAAATCTCTGTTTCCAGTGGTTCTATCATTTGCCTGTAATGAGGTTGGTGGTTTTCTCCAAAACAGGTACTATTAGAAGTTATATACAGTTTAACAGCTGTCTACAGGATGCTATTGAACAGATTAGCCCTGAGCATGGTGATGTGCTGGGTTTTAGGATCTCCTTGCATTGGATGACACAGATCAGCACACTGCAGGTCTCTACCCAATTCCAGAGGCCCAGGCATTTCTTCAGACGTCCACCTCTGGACAATCCTCCTTTCAGATCAAAGCCAGATCCAACTATTATAACCCCATTTTGGCATAATTCAATTACCTCCAAGTTTATTTTACTTTTTTTTTTCCCCAGCCTCCTTTTTATTGCCGAGATGTTGCTGAAATGTATGACAATATCCTTCACAAACCCCTAAATTTGAGGCCAGGAGTGAGCCTCACAGCCTGGTCCATTCTGGAGGAACTTCTAGAAAAAGACAGGCAAAATCGACTCGGTGCCAAAGAAGACTTTGTATGTAACATGTTTCCCAGTTCCAACTTTATTTAAGCTTATTTAAAATTTGGACATACCTCTTTATTTTATGTAGTATTAAGAATGAACATAACTATTGGAGAATAGCACCATGGGATAAAAGCATACTTACCCCACAGTTTTATACCTGTGTTTATATAAAACTATACAGTATTTAAAGCACCCTCACTTGATTCTTTCATTTGATCCTTACAATTTGATCATCTCCTCATCCCCTACATCCAGCTGTCATACCCTATTATTTATTTTATTTTATTTTTTATTCCAAGTTCCCCTCCTCCTCCCTTCTTTTAAAAAAATGCTATGTGGGGCAGCACCTGTGGCTCAGTGGGTAAGGCCCTGGCCCCATATACCAAGGGTGGCGGGTTCAAACCTGGCCCTGGCCAAACTGCAACAAAACAATGGCCGGGCTTTGTGGCAGGCACCTGTAGTCCCAGCTACTGGGGAGGTTGAAGCAAGAGAATTGCCTAAGCCCAGGAGTTGGAAGTTGCTGTGAACTGTGTGACACCATAGTACTCTACCCACTCTGCCGAGGGCGATAAAATAAGACTCTGTCTCTACAAAAAAAAAAAAAAAAACTATGTGGTGTTATGTTTTTAACTACCTAAAGTTTTTGGTGTCTTTTTTTGCTAATAACATTAGCATTTCCATGAAATAATTAATAACAAAGACTAACCAGCTATTAAGTAAGCTTTTTGTTGGGGGTTTGGGGCTACCTAAAGGAGGTAGTATCCTCCTGTGCTTCCTTGTATGTTTTGTTTTGTTGAGACAGAGTCTTACTTTGTTGCCTCCGGTAGAGTGTCATGGTGTCACAATGCACAGCAACTTCCAACTCTTGGGCTTAAGCAATTCTCTTGCCTCAGCCTCCCAAGTAGCTGGACTACAGGTGCCCGCCACAATGCTTGGCTATTTTTTTGTTGTAGTTGTTGTTGTTTAAGCAGGCCCCAGCTTGGTTTGAACCTGCCAGCCCTGGTGTATGTGGCCAGTGCCCTAACCCACTGAGCTATGGGTGCTGAGCCTGCTTCCTTTCATGGTAGAGGACATCACTGTCCTTACAGTAATTCAGATCAGAAATACGAGAGGCGTCCTTTATTCCTCTCTCTGTCATACTTCCATGCTTAACAAATGGCTGGATCCTGTTGCATTTGCTTCCTAAATCTTCCCCATATCTCCACATTTCTTCCTAGTCCTACTGCTACTATCTTTTCCTACCCTTTGTTGTCTTTAGTTTGACCACACAATAGCTATATTTCCTTTATCTGATCTTGATTCTCCAATTTCCCCTATAGCCAAAGTGGTCTTTAAAAAAACAGTTGTGACATTTAGAATACTAAAACTTCTTGATGGCTTCCTATAACCCTAGAATAAAGTCCAAAATTCTTAATGTAGCTGGGCACGGTGGCTCACACATATAATCCTACTACTTTGGGAGGCCGAAGCAGGTGTATTGCTTGAGCTCAGGAGTTTTGAGACCAGCCTGAGCAAGAATAAGACCCCATATCTACTAACAATAGAAAAACTATCTGGGCATTGTGGTGGGCACCTATCGTCCCAGCTACTCTGGAGGCTAAGACAAGAGAATTGCTTGAGCATGAGAGTTTGAAGTTGCTATGAGTGAGCTGTGACACCACAGCACTCTACCCAGGGTGACAGAGTGAGACTCCATCTCAAGAAAAAAAAAAAGAGAAGAAAAATTATTGGCCTGGCCCAGTGGCTTACACCTGTAATCCTAGCACTCTGGGAGGCTGAGGTAGGTGGATTGCTTAAGCTCATGAGTTCGAGACCAGCCTGAGCAACAGTGAGACCCTGTCTCTAAAAAACACCCGGGCTTTTTGGTGGTCCTCTGTATTCCCAGCTACTCAGGAGGCTGAGGCAAAAGGATCACTTGAGCTCTAGAGTTTGAGGTTACTGTGATTTGTGACACCATGGCACTCTACCAAGGGTGATAAAACTCTTGTCTGAAAAAAAAATTTTTTTTCTTCATGTAGACCTGATATGATATAGCCAATTTAGCTTTTGAGCTTCAGAGCTTATGTGACAGTCCTGTTCTTCTGTATACTATAGCCATATCAGACTAATTTAATTTTCTTGACCAAACCAACCTTTTTGCTACCTCAGGATCTGTCTATTCTGACTGGAACATTTTTCCCTTATTCTTTAATGTGGCTTGTTCTTACTCATCTTTCAGACCTGTGGTGAGATATCACTTTCTCTAAGAAGTCTTTTTTAACCCACCAAATAAGATTGGATCCTACTTTCTACACTCCTGTGGCCTCTTGCAGGAAAAAAAGCTAGAATCAATATTGCACCAATTTTCAATAGTACTAACCCAGAGTGGAATATTTTTTCTTGGTAGTGGAGCTCATCGTCCTAATTTTACCTCTGCCCCACTTCTTTACCTCCTCTACTCCAGTAATAATAATTCTTTGTCAGTGCTTCATTCTATTCATCACACTTTTCTTTTTGTACTTTGAGTTGGCTGTTTTACATAGCCGCTGTGATTTTCACACTTCACCCTGATCCTTAAAACAACCTGGGAAGTATTTAGGACAGATAAGTCAACCCCATTTGAGCTCTCAGTAAACTATGACTTGAAGAGGATATAACTTTATGTAGGTCATTCTACGTAACTTTTCTTCAGGTCTGTTTCAGTGGTCTTTCTACCACTTTGCCACACAAATTATGTCGTTTTGCTGCATAAGTAACATGGACATGTGCCTAAAAAGAATTAATGGGGGACAAAGTAGTAACAGCTTCATAAAATTCTTTACTGACTATACTTAATATATTTGTCAGCATTAGTGAAAAAAATGTATCTTTTTTTAATATTCTAGCTTGAAATTCAGAATCATCCTTTTTTTGAATCACTCAGCTGGACTGACCTTGTACAAAAGAAGATTCCACCACCATTTAATCCTAATGTGGTAAGTATCCAAATCTTTTTTTCCTAAAATAGTGAAACATAGAACTGTAGTTCATTCTAATTTTGGAAATAGATCTGAAAATCTAACCTGTATAAATGGAATCAATACCTACATATCTGTGAAGTGTCATTCATGTTGTCTAGTATAACTGATAACTCGAAGATGACCAGTAAGATCATAATTAGATTAGGTTGATGAAAATATCTTTCAGTATAATAATTGTCAAGTAGGGTGGCACCTGTAGCTCAAGCAGCTAAGGTGCTAGGTTCAAATCCAACCTGGGCTTGCCAAACAATGACAACTGCAACCAAAAAATAGCCGGGAATTGTGGCAGGCCCCTGTAGTCCCAGCTGTTTATGGGGCTGAGGCAAGAGAATTGCTTAAGCCCAGGAATTTGGGTTGCTGTGAGCTGTGACACCATGACACTCTACCCAGGGCGATAAAGTAAAATTAAAAAATGTGTCTCTAGGCTCGGCGCCTATAGCTCAACCGGCTAAGGCGCCAGCCACGTACACCTAAGGTGGCGGGTTCGAATCCCCAGCCC